GTCGTAGTAGTAGTAGTAGTAGTGATAGTGGTAGTGGTAGTGGTTAGTAGAAGGAGCAGGTAGTAGAAGGAGCAGTAGTCGTCTGCTACCGCGACTACGACAACGACGGCCGCCACCGCTTCCACGACCACTACTGCCACCAACCGCCGGCGCCAACGCCGCCGCCGCTGCCATTGGCACCACTGCCACCACACCATGCCCCCACTGCTGCCGATCGCTGCTGCGATTGCTGCTGCTACCGCCAATCTTCCTGCTCCTTCCTATGTTTGCCTGATCTTGCCTCCTTCCATATATTCAAGTCAGACCCGCGTTTTGCATAGCCCATGCGAACAGGCCTCGCCCAGCTGCTCCCGCTTCTGCTTCTGTACTACTACTACTACTACTACTACTACGACTACTACTACTACGACTACGACTACGACTACAACAACAGCTACTACTACCACCACTACAGCACCTGCGCTACCCGTGAAATTTGCAAAATGTGGCTCTCCCGTGCCAGACCATGTCTGGGCCTTACCTGCTGTGGTTCTTCTACATCAAGCGATGGGGCTACCAAGCTGGTTCCCTCAAATATGCTCCTGCCCTGTCGAAGCCAACAAAAAACATGAGAGTGGGTAGCCTCCTGCTTGTCCAGCAGCTCGGCCTTGCATCAGTGATATTGCAAGTCAAGGTTGGCACTGCGGTTGTCATGGAATGTCTGCAAAATGTGCATGCTACGTTTGCACAGTGCCAGCTGCTAGCCATTTCTGCATGGTGCAATTTCCCTACCTTTGTAAGCACAAGAAGGGCTGCGGCATACTCTTGCAGCGCGCGCTTTTCTTCTTGAATGCGTCGCTGCCGAGCTTCGCTTCGTTTCTCTTGGTCCTGCAGTGTGCCATCGACTAAGTGCTGCAACGCACAGGTGTGTCTTTCGCAGTTGAACAATCATTCATGTCCTGGCCAACTTCTCGAACCAAAGCCATCTGCGCCTGCTTTGTCTGCTCTCTCTTCGCCTGTCAAAGACTCGCAACCAGCAACAATCACGCGGCAGTCATGCGTTTGTGCAAAAAATCCGCAAAATTCAAGCCTGCACTGCTTGCTTTTCGAGTTCGATCTCATGTGTAGCACGCAGCACCAGACGCCTGTCCTGCCGTGGCATTTCTGGACATCTCTGGGCTTCGTGCCAGACCATCGCAGGACTTTGCATCTAAGCAACCATGAATCGAGCCACATTTGATTCCAGTAGAGTTCTTCAGATCAGCGCCATTCTTGATTGGTGCAAGTCGCTACTCTGCCTTAACGGGTCGGAATGGTCGGTTCTCTGGTCTACCAGCTAAACGAGAAGTGTTTGACAGTTTGACAAGAAAACTGGCCCCTGACGTCCGCATACTCACTACATCTCACTACTGCCGTCCCTAGCAACAAGTCGAGTGGTTTGAAGGGCCCCTGCAGTCAAGAAAAGGATCTTCAGGCAGGGCGCCAAGCAGCTCTAGAAGTCCAAGAAATCCAAGTCAATGGGGGAGCCAGGCTTACACGCTGCGCAGAAGCCAAAGAAAATTATGCCTGAGCGACTCCTGAGCGTGAACCAGGACAGACAAATCCGGACGTGCAGACTTCTGTCGTGAGCAGATGGGAGCATCTGTGAGGCACAGAAAACAGGAGAAAACTATGTCCAGCGAGAAAGGGCGTCAGCAGTCTCAATACCTTGGGCACTAAAGCCGCCCTTCCATGAAGTGGGGCGGCAGGATTGTCACAACATGTCTCAATACAGGGCAACATGAACGGGTAGGTACCTGACTGGCAGGAAGGGCATGGCCAGCAGAAAAATGAAGGCACGCTGTGCACACAGCTCCACATCCGCTCCACGCAGGCCGTGGGCGGGGCTCTGGATGGACGCATCCGCGGAATAACGTGGGGTACAGTATCGGGTCTCAGGGAAAATGTCGGCCAGCTGAGCAGCAAACACAAACACGTGGTTGAAGTGAAGGCAGTGAGACAAAAAAATCTTTAAGCGAAGAATCAAGCTACAAGGTCTCAAAGCGCAATAGAGCAGCCCGTCGGAGGTCAAGCATGGGTGAAACTTCTTACCAACATCAAAAACCCATTGACACCAGCCGAAGGCCCAGCAAGAATCAGAAAGATGTTGGGTGCAGCCAACTTCGGAACATCAGCCAGCCCCCACGGTTTTTACGACTCAGAATCAGTGCTGATATCCAGATATCCACCCTGATTTACAGGGGTCACGTCTCAGTAGTCTCACTGCGCCTCCAGAGAAACCTAGAAATTTCAGATGCCATTCCAGGATTCGAGGCCAGCTGCATGCTGACATGTGCTCACAATCTTGTTCGCATGAGGTTGTCCTTCGACCCCCCTCAGTCCAACCTGGCATGCGTAGCCTGAAGCTCCTATCTTCCCGTTTCAGGACGACTGCTGCTGCTGCTGCTGCTGCACCGGACGCGCAATTTCATACAGTAAGGCTCGATGTCCGAAAACGTCGAAACGGCACAAGCGCTCCCAATTCTGGCCCATTCCGGAACTGTGTCTATATTGCCATATATGGACACTTTCAGGAAGCCCACGGTTTCGAGCTCTGGATGCCAACCAGCGCGCGTTTGATTTGGTTAACGTCCAGTCCGAATATGTCTGAATATCGTGGTCCTTCATTGTCTTCATGGGTGGCTCGGAAGTCTTGGATGTTCGTTGAGGAGCAAACTCTTCTGGTTTGAGGCTACGAGGTTGTCTTTTGAAGCCTTTGGATTGGTAATCCGCATGAAGTGAGGCGCTTTTGCGCATAACGCTGCCAAGTTGCATGGGCAAATTCCAAAACATGACACATTACCAGGCCGCGCTGGATCCGTATTCCTGGGTGTATGCAAAGGCTCTATACGTCCAGCCACGGCAGACTTGGTATCTGCAAGGGATGCGACGTGATGAAACAACGTGCAAGAAATATGGACCTCGTAGCTGGCCCACAAAAGCGAATTCAAACTGAGCAACAATGCCAAACATGTTATGTGCGACAATATGGTACAATTTCGAAGCTGTGCCAGGAACCCGGCTTGCAAATTTGTTGTCCAAGAAATATCAAGTACTGTAGCAAAAGGTGGCAAACAGCCCAAGCAGAGACATGAAATACCTACAGGCGTCCTGCGGCGTCCTGCAAACAAACACAAAAATGCCCGCCCGGCCAAAGCATCTCTCATTTGCATTGTAACTTGCTTTGACCTGATGAGTACTAGCAAAGCAAGCATTCGGCATGCTCCTCTTCCAGTTTTTGTTCTTTTTCAGCCTCACGTTTCCTATACACTTCTTCCTCAGTTGGCGGCACTCCTCTAAAACAATCCGAATCTACACCGCTGCGGGCGGGCTAAGAACTGAGCAGACTGTGCTTCACGATCACGGATGACCTCCCGGCAACATGCAATCGGTTTGAAAGTGAACGTGACAGTGAACATGTGCTTCTGACGGGTCTCTCATGATCTTGATGGGCTTTGGCCTGCTGCACCTTGCGCAATCGCTCTTGGGCTTGTGCCTGGCAATTGGCGCCCGATTCTCTAACGTACAGTAACCTTTCCGGGCGAATTGTTTGGCATCCAGTACACGGCAATATGGGCAATGCCCTGCCGTCTGGTCTCTTTTCCAGCGCTCCAGTTCCACCTGCGGCTGACGCAAAGCATCATAAAGCATCCCAAAGCTAGGACAAAACAAATGCAACAATGCTTGCGTCTCAGCAAATGAAGTAAATGCCTGCTGCAGCTCGTGTAGCTTGTGTTCCTGCAAATGATGCTGTACCATGCGATTTTTTTTTTGAAATGCACTGTAAGACACGCAGTTTGCAGCCGTGACTGAGGTTGCCACGCTTTCGACCGCTTTCTGCTTTTCCGACGTCTTGCCAATTTATTGGGCTCAACACGGCACAGGTCGCAGGCATTCCCAACCTTGTGCTCCATTTGCTGCTTCAAGTATTCCTTCATTTCCTCAGGCCACTTGAAATGCGGATTCTGCTCCGACTGGCAAGCCCCCAGGAATTTGTAAAGGAACAGGCCGTGACTTTAGCCGCATACCATATAATCGTTGCATAATGTGTTCTGTTTTAAAATCAAAGCCCCCTCTTTCCCAGTGTGCCAGATGTGCCAGAGCCTGTCCGAAATTATAAGCCGCCACAACCCAACGTCTCAATGGTAAGGGCGTAACGTTCTGAGCCATCTTCCTCGCTTGCTTTTTTCGAACCTGCTTTTGTCCCGTGCAAGTTGAATAACATGCAACAACACTGAGCCTCTTCCAGTTGCGCTTCTCTGACAGCCAGTTTGGCCACCTCAGCCCCAGGACGGAATGGGGAGAGTATTTCACCAATGTCCGAAGTCTGGGCCAAATCTCAATTTTGATGACATGGAGACATTCTGTCATCATATTGCAGGAACGATTTGGATCTGCCACTTGCGCGGCCATGCAGCTTCGCAAAAAGTTCCCGTCCAGCAGGTCATGTGGGCGATTGGGTGCGCTGCATCTGGAAAGAGTAAGCTTGTTATGCTTTGTCAAACAAGGCACGTTGCAAACCTTTGCAGGGATTGTTTGCGTGTATCGGCCGCATATGGCCAACCGGGTTGCCTGTGCTTGATCTCGGCAAGCAATTGCCGAAAACTTCCCTTCGCAAACGACACAGAAAAGCCGCAGCGCAGCAATCTCGTTTGTAATTTCATATCAAAAACAGCATGAAGTGATTCGACCTCCATTGCCGCCACGTAAGGCCACGACCTGAGACCAGCGCAACACGTCGTCCTGGTAGGCTGTGGACAAAAGGATGGCTCAGCCCTGCTTCAAGATTGAAATCAACAAGCCGTTGGCCTCGGGAACTGCGTCAAGTGTGTGGGGGGCTGCCTCACCTGCCAAGGGCAAAAGATGGCAAGGTTTGATAGATGCTTGGCATGTTGCCGGCAAGCATTGGGTCTTTCCTGGCATGTTGATGTGCCAGAACAGGTTTGGCATCAAATGTTTCCTTCGCTCAATAGCTCAATAAGTTTTCTCAATTCACGAGACCTGCAGGCAGCGGGCATCTCGATGATTACATAGGCGTGGCGCTGACTCTGGGATTTTGATGCTCAAGGGCTAGGGTTGGGATTTGTTGGTTCGTTTTGTGTATATCCAAAACCATGAATCCCTGCCTTAAACGCGTCAACCCCTGAAACCTTAACCTCAAAACCTTAGAACCCTGGAAGCGCCACCCTAACACTTTAAAACCAGAACCTCTAAACACGGACCCTAAAACCCTGGAAAGCTAAAACCACACTAGCCGAAAACTCAATTATAAAAACCTAAATCCTTGAAAACTTCTAAAAGGCCCTAGCCCTACAACCCAAGGACCCGAAACACCATGCTAAGCCCTTAAGTTTGTTGATTCTAAACAGGGAGGGGGGTTTTCGGTTAAAGCTGTTGTTCAGAATTTAAGGCTCGAAATTGCATCAAGAGGCTCCGGGATCACGTAGCCAACAAAAAAAGCGGGTCACTTAGCCAATTCGGATCCCGCAATGTCACGGAAAACGTAGCCAACAAACATGCGGGTTACGTAGCCGATTCACCATTCTGGGACAGCCTGAAGGGTCCTGGCCTACAGTAGGGTTTGGGGGTTTTGGATTTAGGGCTTAAGGTCCAGGAGTTGTGGATTTAGGGTTAGGGGTCTTGGATTTAAGGCTTCGGGTCCAGGGGTTGTGGATTTAGGGTTTACGGTTTACGGTGAAGGGGTTCTAGACACGCGCATCGCACACTGCAAGCACAGGGTTAAGGGTTTCGGGTTTAGGGTCTAGGGATTTAAAGTCGGATTTCATTAGGGTTCAGGCGTTTTGGATTTAGGGTTTGGGGGTTTAGGCTTAAGGGTTTAGAGATCATACGCGGGTCGACAGCTCAGACGGCTGAAGGAACCACTTGGCTGCAGACAAGCGCTCAAAAAACGTGTCAAAGCGACCCCCAAAAAAGCGGTGGGGGGGTGTAGATGGGAGCTTTCATATTGTCGCTTGGGAGTCCGGTGTAGTAGTCCGGGGCAGGAGACTGGGTCGTGTGCAAGTACAAGGGCCATGCCAGGAGTGTTCGGTTTTAGGGGGGGGTTTGGATGGCAAGAGTCAGGGGCGTCCGGGGGTTCCAATGCGGGAGTCTGGGCCAAAGCCGGCCAAAGTCCGGGTTGTCCGGGCCAAAGTCCGGGCCAAAAATCCCGGCCGTCCAGGTTGGGGGACCAAAATGACCCTTTTATGCGGGGACCAAAACGACCCCCTACCTTTTCAATATAGCTTCGCGTGGTTTTACGGAGACTCGAGCGGACGCGAGCAAAAAAATCAAAGCCACGAAAACTCCGAACACCTCAGCCGCCCAACCCCCCCCACCACCTTAAAGCGCGACAATATGAAAGCTCCTAACATGTCATCATGCATCGGCCATCTACACCCCCACCACCTGCCACACAAGCCCGGACCCCAGCCCGTCTACACCCCCCCACCCGCCTAAACCGAACAAAAAAAACAGGGCGATGAAAGCTGCTAACACCTGTTCGAACGTCAGCCATCCAAACCCCCAGCCCGGACTCCTCCTGCTGCTCCTCCTGCTGCTGCTGCTGCTGCTGCTTGTACGCGGCGCGTGTGGGTAAACATGCCACGACCGGAAACGTAATATTCAGAGTTGGGAACATAGGAAACATCGCATGGCGATCACACAACTCAAAGGCAAAAACTGAAGAGGAAATAAATCGGAGCAAGCTCGACCAAATCTTAGCACATCGACCCCGAGCCATAACATGGGAGTTATCGGTGCAAAAGCAGGAATAAGCCCGCCAGCGTGCCACCATCACATCCCGTTTGGCTTGAACCACTGTACAAGGTCTGACGTGGCAAAGGACCATAAAAGCAGGAGGGGCGACAAATTGCCCTCCCCTCGAACGTCGCTGAGAGTAACCAAGCAGAGATGGGCTTTGGGATGCAATGGGCACAGCCCACAAAGTCCCCTCATATCCAGGAACCAAACTGGTATACGGTACAAGTCATGGCTCATGGGTGAAGCCGCGGCACAGGGCCTCCCCGAATCCTGGTATCCCCGGACTACTTGTACTAGCACAGACTCTCCTAACGTTTCATCAAACTTCAGCCATGTACACCCTCCTTTTGCTTTCACTTTCGCTTTCGCCCGTTCGAGTCTCAGCGAAAACACATGAAGCTATCTTTCGGTTTCATGCCTCACTACGACTACGGTCTTACAAGGTTTACACCCTTCACCCCGTTGAAACTAAAACAAATCACAACCAGAAAGTTCCTAACACTTCTTCAAACATCAGCCATCTAAACTTCCCCCACCCCCTGGAAGCGAACATATGCAGAGCCAAGAACGCCCCGGAGTCCTACCCTGGACTCCAGGCCCAAGCGAGAATATGAAAGCTTGTAACATTTTTTTCATTCAGCCATCCACCGCCCCTCACCCCCAACCCTTTCAAAGCCAGAATCTGGACTCTGCACTTGCCACACAAGCCCCGGCCCACCCCCTTAAACCGAACAAAAAAAACAGAGCGATGAACGCACCTAACACCTCTTCAAACATAAGCCATCCGAACCCCTCCCAGCCCCTGTATACCAAACATATGCAGAGCCGAGAACGACCCGAACTCCTGACCCAGACGCCTGTACCCGCCACACAACCCCAGCCCGGACAGAAAAAAATCCTGCCACGGATGATTAGCCACATGAGAACATGAAAGCTCCTGACAGCCTTCATACAACAGCCATCCACACCCCTCACCCCCTTTGAAGCCAAAAAATCAGAGCCAGAAAGCTTGTAGCACTTCTTCAAACATCGGCTCTATGGACCCCACCCGCCCTTTCAAAGCGAACGTATGGAACCCCGGTACCTGCCACACAACCCCCAGCCCGGACTGATAGCCAATTTGTTTTTTCTTTTTTTTTTCCCCGCACCTTTTTCCTCGCCATGAATCCCACCCTGGTCCCCACCCCCCTCACCGGCAATGCGCGCATGAGCGGGCGGCCCCATTCGGCACACCACTCCTGCCTAGCGCATCTAGCGCAGCGGCAGCCGGCTTGGCAGCGCGCCATCAGCCAGGTCCAAAACGCCTGCCAAAGGGATGGCGTCGGCGTCTGCCGGGATCGCCGGCATGCTCCGAGTGCCCAGCACAGCGCTGCAGACAGCACGCTGGACCGCGACGGCCAGAATGCTCCACCAGCGACGCGCCCACCCCTACACAGCCGTCGGCGCTTAGCTGCTGGGCCTCATCGCCCCAACGCCCGCCGACCTCAGCAGCCAGCACGCACAGGCGCTGGGGGCCGCCTCGGCCGAGCTCTGGATAGCGGCCTTGCGCCGTCTGGCAACGGCAATTGCAGCACCATCCCGGGAATCTGCCGCGTGGGCAGGCAGGCCATTGCTGGTCAAGGCGGACACCAGCGTCGCGTCGCAGCACAGGGCCACCCCGTTCGGCGTGGCGCCGTACACGACGAGGTCCAGGCGGCGGCGGTCCTCCGGCGCCACACCGGGCGCTGTGGTGTTGGCAAGCCATTGTTGAGGAACTGCTTCGCGTGCCACTTGGACCCATGCCCGCTCAAACACAAAGCCTCGCCGCGCCAGCAGGCCTGTTCGAGGGCAGGAAGCCAAAATTCCCAATTGACAATATGAAAGCCCCAAGCATTTTTTCATACATCAGCCATCTACACCCCCCACCCTTTTTCAAAGCTAAAAAATCAGAGCATGAAAGGTCCTAAAACCTCGGCAAAAATCAGCCATCCAACCTCCCCCAGCCCCTTAAAGCGAAGATATGGACTTGTGTAACTGCCATACAACCCCCGGCCCGGACACCCCCATCAAGCCAAAAAAATCAGAGCCGGAAAGCTCCGAAAAATTCTTCAAATAACAGCCATCTAATCCCCGCCCACCCCCTTAACGCGAACATATGCAGGCCAAAAACGCCCCGAGCTCGTAACCCAGATGTACCTGCCACACAACCCCCAGCCCGGGAGGCGGACTCCCGCCCCAGATTACTAGCCCAGACCCCAAGCAAGATTATGAACGCTTCTAACATTTCATCATACATCAGCAATCTACGCCCTCCCTCTTGAAGCTAAAAAAATCAGAGCCAGAAAACTCGTAACACTTCAAATATCAGCCATCTCAACCCCGCCCACCCCCAAGATCCCCAAGAACGCCTTGGACTCCTAACCCAAATCCTGTACTCGCCACACAACCCCCAGCCCGGACAGCCCGGACTCCTGCCCCAAACTATGAGCCCACACCCCCAAACAACAATATGAAAGTTCCTAACATTTCTTCACGCATCAGCAGCCCCACCCCTTTGAACCAAACATATGCATTGCTGAGAACGACCCGGACTGCTCACCCGCACTCCTATACTCGCCACACGACCCGCAGCCCGGAAAGCCCGTCTCCTGCCCCGGACTACTAGCCCAGACCCCCCAGTGAGAATATGAAAACTCCCAACATTTTTTCCACACATCAGCCATCTACACCCTCCACCCCTTCAAGCCGAAACAATCAAAGCCAGAAACCTCCTAGCGCTTCTTCGAACACAGCCATCCAAACCTCCCCCGAACAAATGGATTCCCCCAGTTGCCACACAACCCCCAGCCCACACTCCTGCCCCGGACTACTACCCTGGACTCCCAAGCGACAACATGAAAGCGCCTAATGTTTCACCGTAATTACATCGGGCATCTACACCCTCCACCCCTTTCAAGCCGAAAAAATTAGCCCCACACCCCCCGAAAGCGAACATCTGCGGCTCGTAGGTGGTGGCCGGGTCAGCAGGCTGCTGTCTCCGCGCTGCAGCCCGCTGACATGCTGGTAGCATTCCTCGACGATCTCTATCTCATGAAAACTCGCGCGACCA